TCGGGGTTGTTGCGCTGTGTAGTCTGGTCGATGTTAACCAACGTTTCAGAGGTCATACTGTCTCCGTCATCATCGCCTTGATGGCGGAGGCAGTATGACCTCTGAAACGTTGGCTAACATCTACCAGACTACACAGCGCAACAATCCAGAAGACAGAAATTTTCATACTCTGATGACGGAGGCAGTATGACCTCTGAAACGTTGGTTAACATCGACCAGACTACACAGCGCAACAACCCAGAAGACAGAAATCTTCAAAGTAGTATGTGTTAATAATTAACAAATTTCGTAACTTGTTCTTAATAAAACATGTAATACAGTCTAAGAAGCCAACAACCCAAATTCTTATTGTAAAGGTACAAATGAAACTTCACACACGTGTGTTACATCTCACTAACTTTGGTAACAGACGACACAAATGAACTAATGCATGTGTGAATTTACAAATACAGAATCGGCGAAGTGCTACAAGAACATCAACAGATTCATTACTTGAAAGTATGTAAACTTATGAACACCAAGCAACGATAAAAATACAACCCATGTTCATGATAAAATTAAGGGAAGAACTTATATACACAAAATGATAGTGCCTTATCAGTTAAAAATGTCTTGTCGTGTCGACTACCCACAAGAAACATTAGAAAACACGAAACACCTAATACTGCCGTAACGTATGAGATTTGAGTTTCTAACGACAATGGAGAGATCCACGGTGGTCTGGGTTAAGATATCGTGTGGACTTGGAGGTAGGACCACGTTTCGGAGGAACATATAGCCTACATCTTCAGGACTGAATCGTGTTATTATTTCAATGAGAGCCACACAATGACCCAGTAATAAACACACGTGAGGAAACATTCGTTATGTGTTTATGGAACCAATGTTTGATGTGCATTGTAATGTTACAGGCTGACAGAGTACGAGACGCGGCCTGGGACTGTGACTGGGTGGGAAGTCCGATCACATTCCAACGCTGTCTCTATTTCATCATTAATATAGCGAACAAGGAATTCATCCTAACAGCTGGTAAATTCGTTCCCGTTTCCAAGGCGACAATGATGAATGTGAGTTACAGTTTTCTTTCCTTCTTATAAAACACGCAAGGAGAACTTCTCGCCATCACTCAACAAACTCAAAAGTTATGATGTGTACTCCACAACGATCAATCAAAGAATAAATGTTCATGGTGTTATTCTGGGTAGCAACGCCGTTTGGACTTGTTAGTAGTTACCAACGTTTCGGAGGAAAGTACTTCCCTGTCTCCACTATCAGGACGATGCTCGTCGCCCTGACAATTAGAAGTAGTAAGTTCACAGCTCATTCCTACGAACACAGCGTATGAAACATCATTTGTACATAAATAGTCTGTAATTAACAGTAATGAACAGTATGACAGCAGAAATTTAAAGGTGTATACATTTCCAATTATCAGAGTCATATTTTACACATGTAATTTTAACAAAATTGCAGTAAAATTGTAAATCTCGGAGTAAAAGACGCATTTTGGTGACTGTGAGTGTTCTTCAATAAGATTAAACACGTGAAAATGTTTCTGCATAAACTGAGTAAGATAAGAATATCAAATGGCATTAATAACAAAAAATACGCCATGTAGAAAGGCAGTAGAACATTTAACAGGATACTATAATTGAACACCTCTTAATCTAAATACAAGTGGAATAAGATTTCATTAATGTTTAAATGTTTATATCCCTACAGATGATACAACAATCGGTCTCCCTCTTCATGTTCATGCTTCAAATAAAGGATGAAGAAGAAGCTCTAGAAGGACGCAGATAAATTAAATATTCGATTGTAGAAATGTATTTTCTCGTAACAGGCACAGTTCACAATTAATTACATTTCTTAGACAATGATCAACATGTAAGTTGTAGTCCTATTTGTAAAATGAGATGTAGTCCAACATTTTTCGCTTACTTCCTGTCACGAATATGATAAAGCTTATAATAGTATTCACATACGAAGCACTGGATTACAGGAAACCATGAGAAAGCAAATGACTTTCTGTATTTATTTCATATATAAACGCTATCTGCATAAACCTGTCAACTGGAAGACCATCTACTGACACCTAGACCCTACTTCCAACACGCATTACGATCAATATCGGAGGTTTAATAAAATATCGAAATTAAATGTGGATGCAAATGACGTTCCTATAGGCCTACATATTTTTATGCCATACTCAAATTGGAACTCTTAGTTCCCTCAGTTTGAATTTATTACAGTTTTTAATACACCCTTTTGTGTGTGGGCCAACAGTGCTGCAAAGGGATATATGCTACGAATATCAGATTAAAAAGCTAATTACTCCGGTGTTAATTCACTAAACTTTCAAGATTTTGTTATTTTCCCACTCACTACCTGCGTCTAACATCTTCGTTACACGATAACTATAATGACATACGCTACAGAAATCAAATTCATGCCTCTAAGATTTAAGGTTCTCACGGCGGTGAATATGTCCACATAGTGATCAACTCAACATGGATCAGATGGGTCGGTTCTACAGCAGGCATAAAAAGATAAATGCATTCCAAACTGCAGTCGAAACATACAAACGGAAGAAGCCACTTGTATATCAGGGTAGTAATGAAACGGGTAAATATGTTGCAGGATGTAGATTGGATTCAACTGGCTCAGAACATGATCCACTGGCGGAATATTTCTAAGACGGCAATGAGCCTTCTGGTTCCATAAACAAGTGCAATTTAGCGATCAAATGAATGAATATCAGTTTTTAAGAACGAGTTAATGGAAATAATGTTTGCTGGAAAGGAATAAATAGGAGGAATGAGGATCTCTGGTTGTAACGGCGTATGGACTTGTAAATGGGAAGCGACGGGAGGGAGGGTAAGGGAAGAAACAAGGCCCACTTAAAAACTGAGTATACTCCAATATATGCTTGTGAAAAAGCTGTCAGGTACTGTTATGAACATTGTTTGTATACACAATCTACAAGAAGATTTGAGCCATCTGCATTTTCTCACTGAATTGGTTACAAATGGATACAGCTACAAGTAGAACTGCTTTAAACTTTCCTTATAATTGTTTTCAGTACGAACATAAATTGTTAAAATAAAAGTATTAATGTTCAAGTCTAGTCACGCAGGGACAACTAAATTAATATTTTATTATCGCCAAAGCATAATTAAAGGACACGAAGTTTCACTGATGTTTTCTATTCGTTGTTGGTTACCAAACGTGCAACAAGAGAAATTTTAACAATTTAGCGATCCCCAATTCTTCTAGGAAATGGGATTAAAATGTACTGCAATTATCTAGAAAGTTATCAAAGAGTGTCTAGTGGCAAACATCTCCGTATTACGTCATACTGCCGACAATGTGATGGGTGTGAAGAAGTGCATGTGGAAATAAATAAGACATTACTCGTTAAATATATAAAAACCAAGCTTTTAAATTGGGTGCATACTTTTCGACTTACCTTTGCTACTCAAATTTGAAAAGTGTCCATGTGAATATTTCGCGGTAAAAATAGGATTGCAAAGTCATTTACGTACACTAAAATTTATCACTATACGTGGGATTTAATGAAATATGTACTTTAAAATTACATTTAGAATTCACTGGACTTTCAATATATTCCAGTTACTTAAAATTTCCCATTGTCTATTCTGTCGTTATCAGTGAAACTAACATACAAAGGAGAAATATAAGTTATTTAAACATGTCCTTGTGCCTAAATACCACAATATGAGCACATTATGGAATAAATGTAGGTAAATGTACATATTACAGACCTATGCTAGATGGTGGTGAGTGAAAACGTTCATGCATCGGTCGCTTTACCCCCAGCGAAAGAGCCCCTGGCATCCTTTTGGACTCGGGAGTTTTCTGGACGTGGTGGAAAAATATACAAATTTGTCAGATATCAAATTCTCGCCTCCGGTACTCACACATTCACTTATACACGGCACTATTCCGTCTATTATTACTATTATTATTATATTTATTACCACTATAATTATCCAGCTTAGTATGAAATCTAGAACAAATAGTCGTTATATGTATTCGTGACACATGCTAAGTTTAAAGTACATGGACATAACAAACACGACCGTCATCAAAAATTCAAACATAATTTCTCCATTCATAGATTATGCCAAAAAACAAAGTAAATCGTTCAAGGTTTTCAAAATTCAAACAAAATTACATAACTCTGGCAGATAAATAAACATCGTATGTCTGTACATATTTACTTGATTTCTGAACTGCGACTGTTTAAGTTATTACATGCATCAATTACTTCGGGAAAAAAATAACTTTCTCTTAACTTCCAACTGAAACTTTTAATGGTGCATTGGTCAGAAAGAGAAGAAGGCCCGTTTTTCCTGAATATTTCAACAGCCAAGATATGGATTACAGTTCCTGAAGAAGCAGACCTACAAATCAACAGCGCAGATCACAGTACCATTCAGTGGAAACCTGGACCTCGTGTGTGAAGGACTCAAGGCTCTGTCTGTATTAACCGTTCCGTTTGCATTTTCATAAACTTACTATGTGAATGCTTACAACGAAGATGGCCGAGCATGACAAAACTACAAGACGTTTCAGCTACTTTGTAGCTGCATTCCGCGTGACGGGGATACCCCTTCTCATGGACCGCGTTTCTCCGCTGTATTGGGTGTACGCCGCTGTGGCGACCGTGTGCTGCTATGCGTCGTACTCTGCTCAAGTCGTAGATCTTTTGAAAAACACGCGAGATCTTGAGCGCACAATGGAGACTGCTCGCGTAGTCGCCGGAGCAGGGATGACTGTGTGGATATATGGTTTCCTCAGGTATTAAGTGTCTCAGGAGTTGTTCTCGGAAAGGTAGTAACCGCCTAGCTACTTAAGTAATTCCTTGCCTTTCATGTAACGCGAAGATTCACTAAAGCGTCCACAAGGTCCTACCACTGGACCCTATCATGAGAAAAGGAAATATAGTCACCCTGTATTTCTTTAAAATGTATTTTTTATTCTGTATATTGTAACCTTCAAGGCAGAAGACATAACATGAAATGGATGCAATACGTTCCACCTAAATGCTTTGAATTACCAAGATCATTAGGCATCACTATCCACAAGACTGCACCGTGAAAATATAAAATCTCATTTCAATGTTATTATCCCATCTACACCTAGGTCTCTTCCCTTCAAGCTTTCAGACTGAAATACATAAATTCGTATTCTTCCACTGTGTGGAACATGTATCGTCCGTTTCATCCTTCTTTATTTGAACACCGGTTAGAAACGCGCCTGAAAGTGTAACTAATTTGAATTAGGTGAAGTATCCAAGTGAAAAATAAATTGGATTTAAGAGAACGAAAAATTATAATCAAAATTCAAAGTGTAATGATAATATAAAAACCATATAAATAATTCTGAAACACGAAGTAACAGGAGGATTAAGAAAACTGCACATGTAATAATGAATTTCGAGTTTCATAAAAGGCAGGTAATGTCTTGATTGTCTGTCCGACTATCAGCATCTGAACGACTACGCTACATTTCTGCCAGATCCTGTACTACGTACTTTCTCCACCATCAGTCGCTCTGATAACGGAGCCAGTACGCATCTCTGAAACGTCAGTCATATTCTTCTTGAGACTACACAGTGTAATGCCCCAGATGGCTGTCGTCTTCATACGATTCTCCGCGAGAAGCTGAAATCTCAATGAGAACGAAGAATCTGGAAGAAAATGTGTCACTCCAACAGATTTCAGGTTCTCACAGCGATGAAGATGTCGATGTTAGTCTTTTGGGTTGAGATGTGTAGTTAGATGCCAACGTTTCAGAGAAAATACTGTCTCCATCTCTAGGACTGAATACGTAAATATGGTTCGTTTCTCCCAAATCTTGGTGTTAATCTGAAAGGCCACACAGCATTGAAACCAATACCAACATCGACATGACAACATAACAAGTTTCCGACATAACACCCTCACTGTTCCAGATTTCGCATAAATTCATTAGAACGACTGTTACACCTCGCAGAATCCTTTGTGTGGGAAGATTTGCCTACCACAGACCCTGAAACAGGTTCCATGGCAGCGGCTGGATGGATTCCACGCATAGAATCTGTCACCCGACGGTTAATCAACATTACTCTAATTTTCCACTTCAGTTACGTCATCATAAAGAGAGCGGTGTCGAGCAAACCCCAGCTTTCATACAACACCTGGTATCCTTTTGATATATCATCTACCATCGTATTCGAGCTTGTTAATATATCTCAGGTAACGTAAACATCCGAATAACTCTCTTTCATTAACATACATTATTTGTAATTTAAATATCTGTCTACAGTGTGAACAAACATTACCATAATAATTTCCATATTTAAGAATAATACACCACATCGTAAATAGTACATACGATAATCTGCTGTATTTCATAGTTCGTCAAATATGTTACCACTGTTCGAATAAAATATATAACGGATTACATCACAACACCCCATATCCCATCATAATTTACATATTATCGGCAATATCTCATTAAAAGTTTACAAACTAACCAATATAACACGAAACAGGTAAAGCGGAAAATAATTATTAGGGTACAGCATATCTCTAAAATCCTTACGAAAATCGAGTGTTGTTATCCTTAGTTGAGGAAAAAAAGTGCAATCAAATGGTTTAAAGCAGCTGAAGGATGAACAATTTTAAAAGCTTTGCAGCGACCTAAAAATACATTATTTTTGTACGCTGCTAGCACCGGTGGACCTATGCGATGGCTGAAAGTAGCATGTAATTTTCTCGACTAATATAACTGTAAATAAACTTTAACACATGTCATTACAAATAGACAAACATTTCCCGAGTTGATGTTACAGAGGCCACAGAGTTTCTCCTGTAAAAACTCAAAGAAATCTATCACAAGTCCAAATTTATCAAAATTATTTGTAGATACATAGTACACTGTATTCGTTAAAACAGTCGAGTCTTTTGCTAAGGGGCCTAAAATACACGCCAGAGACTTTCAGCTCATTATTGAATTTATCAAAATTGGCATATCTAATTGAGTGTTGTGACAGCTCTTAGCAGCTCTGATATACACCCTCATGCTCCTGGGATTCAACGGACTGTACGCCACCCTGGTCTGCATCGCCTGCAGTCAGCTGCAGAAGCTGAGAGCAAACCTTTTGGATATCAGACAGAAACAGGACACAGCAGAGCATCCGGACCCGGGTGCTGAGACTGGACATGAGGAAAGACAGAAAGTACACGCCTTCTATCACATGCAGGACCAGCTCAACGACTGTGTACGTCACCACCAGCAAATACTGAGGTGCCTGTTATTTTTACAAACTGAACAGGGACCGAAAATGTCACTGACAACATGACAGGAAATTGTGATGCACTGGTTTAACAAGCTACACAAATTAGTAATCATTTTATTGTTCCAGTTACATTCGAGCGATGGAGGAGACGTTCAGTCCGATGATGGTGGTGATATTCCTGCTAGATCTAGCCTCCTTATGTCTTGGCTCATTCTCTATAGTTACGGTGAGGAAACAAAGATTTTGCTTTTGTCTGAAAGGTATCAGTTCCGGAAAACTTCAACAATACACACAACTAGTGCAATTTATGTTGTTTCTATCCGTAGAGTTGGGGGAACTACGTCCAGATGTCTCAGGGTATCGTGACGTACGGATTATTACTGCTAGTGCTAGCTATATACTGCTGGTTCGGATACGAGCTTTCATATCAGGTAACAGTATTATACAGAATAAGATTATGCGGCAAATCATATTAACAGCGGTTATAATGCTGGCCTTGTAATACTGGGGTCTCGGGTTCGATTCCCGGCGGTGCCCGAATTTATAACTTGTGTTGGGCAAGGCCGTGGTCTAGGCAACACGGAGTTTTCCTCCGGGGGCTTCCCCGGTTTCTCCGTGGCATCCCAACAATTACTCCATTCACACACAGAAGAAGGCAATGGCAAACCACTTCTGGATCATCTGCCAAGAACGTATATGAACAGGTCCCAGTCCGAGAAAAGGATGGAAGGATCCTGTTCATATGGACCTGTCATCAGACAGAACACTAAATAAAAACTTATATTACAATAAAATACCGGGTGCTTCAATAAATTATTTATATCGAAATGTACGCCGTTGGAAAGAAATTGGTCAAAGAAATAAAATGTAACAGCGCAGATAAACTTCTGATCAAAACTGTATTAAAAAGAGTCCCGTGTGTTTCTAAACCCAAAAGTGCTACACCCTTTAAGGTGTTAGACAGTTTTAAACGTTTCTTTCACTGAGACTAACCGCAAAGTTTCGGCAAGTTTATTCCCTTGGAGGTTCTAGTTAACCCATCGTCATACTTTGACGGATATGAAACGTCCAACTGTCTGGGTGACCTTAATTACTTTATGCTTACAAAACTTCACCTGGTAACTAATTAACTGACTTCTGACTTCATACAACTTAGTCATTCTTGAGGAACTAATATTCCCTCAGCTAGTCAAAACATTTTCCTAACTTTTGCGTTTCATAAGAGGGAAATTTCTTGACTCTGTGAGTGACTGTTAGCTTCTCAAGAAGTTTTCTGTCCCATAGAGTCAGTTACTTCGATATTTTAAATGTACGAGATCAAATAGTTTCACAGTGGGTTAACATACGTTCAAATTATAAAGCCAGATACTATATCCATAAACTTTTCATATACACCAAAGTGTAGAAATTCTAATATTTCAAAAGGTGAATAACAATCTCAAAAATCTTAAGAACATGCGACGTTTGAATAGACCTTCTGGTTTTATTCAATTGTAAGATAATGCATGCATACACTTCAGCATCCACGACGATCAATATACGAGTATTTTAGTGATAATAAATTTCTGTGGTAAACGACATGTCAATAAAAGTTACAGAGGGTTCAATGGCACTTGCAACTTAACTACAACACTGAGGTTATTATTACGATATGTACTGCATTGTGTTTTTGTCAATGATGCTGTAACGTTTCAGGCGGAGAACGTGCGAGATGCGGCCTGGGGATGTGATTGGGTCGGAACGCCAGTTTCCTTCCAGAAGAGCATCAGATTAATAATATCATCAGCTAACAAGGAGTTCACCCTCACTGCTGGAAAGATTGTGCCAGTGACGATCAGCACGCTGGTTACTGTAAGTCTGCGACCTCTTAAATATACGTAATTAAGAAATTAATTGTATATCCATCATGCAGGCCCTACCCCAAACAGCCAACATTCTCGTTCAGGTATTCAGAGAAACTGAAACTCGCATTTCGGTATCACAGTCCCTTGACTCATTCATAAATCTAGATTGTGACGTTTAACGACGCAGACAAAAATCTCGTGCTTCGGTAGTGGTGTCTGACGACGTAAACATCGTTAGCCAGCTAGTCGAGGCTTACATTGGCGGCGAGGGCCTGGCTGGCTAAAGCTGGCTAACGATGCATTTTATCTGATCGGTTCTACCGTGTTCTAGTCTATGGAGTACCACTAAACCACAAATTAAGACAGAGGATTTTTTATTCTTCGTATTTAAAAGTGTTAGCTGGATTAACACGGTTAACATGGCCGCCTTGCCAACTGGGTGGTAGTAAGCAGAACACGGACTCTTCACCATACGGAACTGTGTGCTTTGTGTTTCCAGATGGTTAACCAGAGCGTGTCCTACTTCATGTTCCTGCTAGAAGTTAAGAAAAACATCGAACACAGTAAAATTAATTAGTGCAGGCTCATAAGAAGAAAACTAACCCGATATTAAACACTGGACACTAACAACAAGCACTGGAGTCTGACTAAAGAAATTCAGACATTTCAATGCTGGTAAATATACTATGTAGATCATTTTAATAGACTTAACTAGACATAAATGCAACTTAAGTTACATTTTTATTAGGTAGTTCCTACAAAAAAAAAATTGCTTAAATCGCCCTCCTCTATTGGCATAAAATTGTTCCTGAAAACCGGTGCTGGCCTACCAAAAGTAGGTAAAGTTCGAATTACGCAAACACGGGCTTTATATTGTAACATTTTGTAGCAGAACGAGTTATTGCACTACCTCTTAGTACATTTATATTTTGGTTCAGAACAATTATAATTTCCGCAAACATCAATAATTCTCGTCAGGACTACGTTTGAACTTTAAACTTCCTCAAATTAAATTGATGCTTTCTCCGAAGCAGAATTTTATTCAAATTTTAATTTCTTTACGAGTATTCAACCACGATCCAACATTTGCTAAACACGCGAGTACCTACCTGCATAAAGGCAAGTGTCCACTATATAGACTTCTGTTTCCTAGTTTGTGTGTAATTTCAAATGTTTCGCCATAATATATGGTGATAAAAATGAGGTGTGTTTTACGAGAATACTTACTTTAAAATTGACAAACATACTACGTTAGTGTTGAGTGGAGTAACAGGACAGATACCACTTGTTCCAGTAACGCAGTTTACATGAATACTGATAAAGCAGAAATACTATTTCTGTACTACATACGAACTATCATATGGATTGTATGGATTTCTCGCCTTCTTCATTTCCGGAAGTGAACACTTCGTAACTAGGCCTTCATGTTTGCAAACATGTAACCTCTTTTCTGTTCAGAAAATTTTAAAAATAGAATAATAAGAATATATAAAGAACACTCTTTTATAAGACTTGTTCTTTAATTTTCATTTAAACTAGCGACTAACAGGAATTAACAGGAATGACGACATCGTATCTTATTGTTACTTTATTACAATAAATGGTAATGTGCCCATTGACAGTCACAGAACATTTTAAACTACAAACCCATATTATCAATTACGCACATAAGTGCGAATAAATTTACTTGTTAAACATGCATTTAATTCTCTCTATTCCACACGACACAGTTATACTTAATCTTATATTTTAACACAGCAGAATATATGAATATTTTAAAGGTATAAATGTAAAGGATTCTGAAAATATATTTACGTATCTCTCCACAGCAACAGATACTGTCACATCACCAGGTTATCTTATCATTAAGAAGTCTATAATCTGCTGTTTTTAAATAATTATCAACACATGTAACAAGGTCACTAATCTACGAGTGTAAGCTTGAGTCAATATATAAAACAGGTGTACATCAAGACAATCCTTACATTTATAATTATATCATTACAGCAAGATGAAATTAATACCCGTTATTGCTTACTTTATGAGCTGATATACACACCTGTTTACCAAATTTGTCTTATTCTTATGCCTTATAATTGTGACAACTTGCTGACATCGTCCTTACACACGTTAAATATCAATAAAATAATTTCTGTCGCATATTCTGTCAGCAGGTTCTGAAAGCCAGACCACATACACCGAAATGCACATTTCTATTTGGCCATATGGTCCAACGACTATTTCATGCGAAACCAAATTATTTAGAGCAAATTTTATTTTACAATTTAATTATATATTATAAACGAGGTCTCAGACAGAAGCTCGACGTAGTAACATAATGCCAAAGTAAGTATGCATTTAACTATCATAAACAAATAAGTTGACCAAAATTTTAAAGTTTAATTACAAGTTAATTTGCTGAATTTTAAGTATACTAACTAATATGGTGTATAATATGCGCTGAAGTCAATACCTGTTGACCAATTTTTAACCTGATCGTTTACATAACGAACCCACAACCTCTGTAACACATGTAATTTCCCACCGAATTGTAGGCTGCACGACAGTTATGTAAGTACTCGAAGACTTCCTCTAAAATTGTTGTGCGTTTAAATTAAAGGGAATAAAATATAATAAGATACAATTCAAAGCCCAAGAATCATAATAAACATCTGCACAATTAGGAAAAGTATAAATATTTTATTATAATCCAGCACTGGTAACAGAATTAAATTCTCATGTTATTCTCAAAAATATGCGCTAGTGTAATCACCAATTGGTTTAACAAACCTCGTAACTCTAAGGTTCAGTTTATAATAATAAACAAACGCTTTAAACACGAAACCACCAATTTTTCAACTTAACGTACCAACCCGAATACGTACGTCATAAACTACATACTCTGAGGTCTGAGAAAGTGTCGTCCGATGAAGATTATAAAATAACGAAAAAGACAAGTGCGAAAAAATTAATCTTATAAGATAGCAGCCTTGAAGGCAGGAACACTGTCTGGAAATGTGCAGTCTATATAACGGAAACTACTGAAATCGTAGATAAGAAAGAAATTAATTAAGTAAGTAATAAAGTAACAAAGAAAGGAAGAGATGAGATACAATGTGAGTTAATCAAAACAGAATTGTGGCATACATGCTAAAAATTGTACGAGAGATCCTTGAACGTATGGTATACACTTCAGTCCTGAAGATGAAAGCAGTATGTTCCTCTAAAACATCAGTATCTACCTACAAGTCCACATGACGTTATTACCCACCGCTGTGATAATTCCAAGTTGCAAATAGTATACAGCACTCTCTTGCATTATAATTTAATACAAGAGGAGTTCCCGTTGCATATCGGTATATGAAAACTGTAGTTGCGATACGGAAGAAATGCACTACTTTGACGTGAGGAAGATGAAAGCTGTAGTCCCAATGCTTGAGGCAGAAAGATATGTTAAAAGGAAGAACATCTGAATCAAGTCGCTAGACGGCAACATTAATGCCGCTCTTGAACGACATAAAATTAAAGATACGCTGACTCCTTCCGTCTTTTATAACAAATTAATCAAACAAGCTTGCGCGAAATTATACTCGCAGCATTAAGCTAATTAGTATAATGCGCAAATACCACCGTGAGGGCCTCCTGGCACACTATAATTACCTATCTCATGTCGCGTTCCTTACTTTTTAAAACAATCCCAGGTCTAAGTTACACACCAGCAGCTCCTTAACATACTTATATGCAGGACAAGACATTTGATAACATTCAGGAAAAACCAGCTTTCAAATCATACTTCATATTTAAACTTCACCAAGTTAAATCGATACAAAACAATTTAGTTTGAGTAGGTACATAAAGTTCTGTACCAATTAATTTAATTAAGATCTAGCATTCTGGATCATTACAAACACAAATCAAATAAAATATTCCAATACTTTATAAGAATGTTACTTTCTACTAATAATAAGTTATATTAATCTTCCTGCACTTCTACAGGGCTACTATATAATGCAGCCTACATTCTGATAATACTAATTATTTCAGACAAGAAAAGTTTAAACAATTTTTAAGTCTGTATTCGTACTGTCTGTATGAGGTTTAATGTGCGTTAGTTTGTACTACACCTAAGAATAGCGTGTAACTCACAGCAAGTATGTTTATGCGTTTATTAATTAATCTCTGACAAAACGTGAAGGTGAAGTCTGTTCGCTCTAAACCAACCCAAACTGCAGGACCAGTTCTTATCGGCCTACTTACTTGTTTAACCTCCACATCTGGAGGCTGCATCCGCACGCAACCTGAGGACGCACGATGCCATGGTACACATACATGCTAATCAAGAAGTATTTGGACGTACGAAGACTCTAGTAAGAAATTTATGATATCAGACCAAAACAGCAATACACTTGGCGATTATACATCACTCTGTAATTATCAGAATAGTGAAATGCGGGGGCTACGATGGTCTGATCACGTAGCTAAGCTTGGGGAACAAGGAAAACGTACATAATTCTATGGAGCAACTTGTTGGAAAACGGACACTTAGAAGACCTAGAAGGAGACAGGACAACATTAATATTGGTACTGGATAAAGATGATGTAAGAATGGCAGATGAATAGAAGTGTATGATTCCGGACACGGTATGAACAATCAATACAGAATTTCATAAATAACTGGCAGAGTACTCAAACGATACGCTAAAGTTCATTTAGGACCTTAAAAGCGAATCTCAGTCACAGGATATCGATGCAAAAATCGAATGGCGTTCTTCTGCCAAAAGGATGGCCGGACCCAGTTATCTTAACGGTCCCCTCTGATTGTGTAACCCCCGCCATGACGGAAACATCAATTTTCTGAAAGCGTTGTGGTTTAAGAAAGAACCTAGAGGATGGATAATGCCCATTCTCTTAAACTGTTCAGTCTGACGCTGATTACAGGTATTTAACGTATCACAAACGTGAATTTTCTTTGTAAGACGTGTGCTCTGATATTTTCGAATATTGTGACATGGCCCTAATCAAGTGACTACATCTCCAAATTATTTCTGCGTTAAGGTAATTTTAGTCTGGACCTCTTCAACATTCTACGTGTCATATTCTAGAGCAAAATAAAATCCGAATAAAGAATTTAGTGATATTCATTGAAATGGAAATCACAATTAAATCAGTAAAATATTTACCAACATGAACCTTGTTAGATGTCTTGAACTAAAATGTTAATAATACACAAGACGAGATAATGTAACCATCTTCTACTCATTTCCTAACAGTTCTCTTTATAAATAATTAATTTTTATAGTTAATTTTAGCAACATATAATGGAGAAGAATAAAAAGCAGAATATTTTTCACATCATAACCACTCCGTACAAAATTACTGGATTCTTATACTTGGAATGAAGAAGATATAATCGGTGCTTACAACAGAAGAAATACCTGTTTACGAGTGCTTCATCTGAAGGCTTTAACGACATGCAAAGAAAAATATTACATTCCTCTGTTCCCTGTTAGCTTCGTACGTAATATTTAATCTTAAATTCATAAATAAGTAAATAATATTATTAGGATTGTAAGTGATGATGTGACAATAACTAACTGTTATGTTCTCATCACAGCATGGGAAGTCATCAGGTTGCAGATGGAGGCGACAGCCTCCATTATGAAGGGCAGTTGCGAACATGTTGGAGAAGCAGTTGTAAACGATCAACAATGGGTGACCGTTCATCTTGGTGTTGGACGCTGGTACAACAACTCCTCACCATAAAACACTACACGTTACGAACCACAGAGAAGGCAAAAACTCAAATAGGAGCAGGATATCTGATTAGGTGAATACGTTTAAGTATCTTAGCTGTAATACATGATTTCGATTCTCAAATAACCTATGTGTGAAGCTCTCAGATTTTCAATAGTCTTGTAGCACCATCAAGAGATTATTATCGTAAAAAAACAAGAACAGAGACTCTTCGGAAATTCAATAAGTAATTGAGTCCATATTGCTTTATATGGCGTAATTCTGCGTAATAATTATAAAACAGCAAAAACAAATGAAAACAGCAATGATGAGATTTCTGCGACCTCTAGTAGGACGTGAATGGTCTGGGCGAAGACATACAGAAACAACTGAATATATTTTCCAAAACTGATAACCAAATTTTCAAAGAAACCATCAGGATTATGTGGAACGAACTGAGAAACGTCAATTGCAAACAAACTTCTACATTCATTCCTCGAAAGGAAAACGAGAAAGAGGAAGACCTATGAAAAGATTAAAAGACCAATTCCAGAAGAAAAATAACGGAAGTCGGAACAGACTAATACTTTTAATCCCTGAAGCTGATGATGGTGATGATGATGATGATTAGTTGAAAAGTGGGTATGGGAAATATAACATTATGTGTAATGTACTAAACAAATAATACATGACATATCTGACATGGACATAACTACGAATATCATTCGTTACCAACTTAAAAGACGCTTTAAAATTTTCGGAATATCCTAACGACAAACATATTACAATTTCTTGGCACATCAATTATACGGTACACGAGAGTTGATCACAAAAACGTAGCGGAAACCAAGAGCCCCAATTTATACCGAAGTCGCAGTCCAGCGATTAACACAATCAATTCTTATTCGAGACGACCCGGCTTTGAGACCAATTAACCTAATTACGTATTTTCGTCTTCCTAAAGTCGTTCTAGGCAAATGCTGGGATATTGTCTTAAAATAGGTCAAAACCACTTCTTCCCACACCCTCTCCATTTCATCATTCAAAATTACCCTAAATTCTATGCTACATAGGCCGTGCAGCTATAAAATAAACGTAAATTTAAAATACCAAATGTCTGCTTTTGTATGTGATATAATATAGGTTTAAATTCCGAATATTACACTTTATCCAAAATATTCTTACAAGAAAGCATCGTTATAGCGTGTTTGTGTGTGAGAGTAAAGAAGCATACTATTCACTGAATATTAAAATTATAGAGGTCATGAATTACTTAGATTATAAAGCCTCCGTACTCGTCCTACTGTTTGCATGCTTTCCCAGAATTAAAACTTCTAAGCGTATTCAGTTAAGGAACGACAAATAAGACCCTTTATTTATAAATAATTCAGTACTTGGTTCTACAATACGTTTATGATTATTGAATATCTACAGCCCATGTGTAAATCCATGCAGTAGTGGGTTGCAGTGTGTGGCTTTGAGACGTCCATACCCACATCTCTTTGTTCTTGAAATCTTATTAAATTGGGCACAGATCAGACCTGATCATTTCATTGTCTATAATATGGCAGGGCGTAATAACGTACTGATAGGAAACATTACAAAACTGCGCTTCAATTTCTTCTTGATAGTTTTTCGCACAGCTGGCATTCCAATTCTGTTCGAGAAAGTGCCGAAATTATTCCAAATTTACTGCTTCGCAGTAAATACCTGCGTTTTGATATTCTATGCTTCTAATGTTTTGGATTTGTTTACACATAAGGAAGATCTGAGATACACCATGGAAACTGTCCGAGCGGCGGCTCCAGCAAGCATAATTATATGGACATACAGCTTCCTCAGGTACATTTCAGTGTTGCTCTTTCGTCTCCACGATTCTGTTAAGAATGTCGATCCGAGTCTTAAAAACCCTGAGATTCAAATTTGATTATCATACATTACTGTCTCCATTTTAAACATTTAAAAGTTATGGACACAAATTAAGAAAACTGATAGAACAAGAGGATAAAATAAAAAGAAATTTTTGTAAGAACTGGAGTTTATAACATTTTTGTAATTAATATAGATTCTCATAAAATACAGTCCAGGAAGCAGAAACATGCGACTCTTTTACATTTCACAATTACAGCCTGTACACAGGTCTTTTAAGTAAAATATCATGATATGCAAATCGAATTCAGTGCCATGTAAATTGTTTACTGATGGCAATTGTTTGCTGTAACAAACCCATAGCTACATTCCATTATGTTGAAATATTGCAATACTATATCAGTTTGTCCATTCATGGGCATCGAGATGTTAAAAACGTCTGTATATTGCTATCCATTCAGGCGTTCTAACGGAACAAATGAAAATTGAAGTTTCATTATCGTTCACAAAACTTGATCCTGAACTCTATGCTCAGTGAAATAAACCTAGTCCACCTCCTGAAAACCTATTCCTTTAATATATATACAAATATCATTCACTCATCTGCGCCTAGGACTCCTGAAAGCATTCTTCCCGGCAGGTTTCCAACTAAAATCCTGTATTGTTTTACTTGACGTGCGTTCTATGCGCCATCCATCTGATACTCCTTGATTTTATCGCCTAAGCAATATCTTGAGAAGAAATGTGCAGTTCCTCGGTATGAAAGTTTCTCCATCATACTGTTACTCCATTTCTCTTAAGTCCAAACAAACAATAAGGTAGAGGAATTAGAAAAATATTCGACACGACTGTCTGTTCTTGTTGAGATTCCAGGGGCGTAACAGACACGTAAGCCCTTTCTAAGTGATTTAACGGATATAGAAAAATGCGTGAAAATATAATACCAATGGAGCACATTTCATAAATTTTTGTATTTGTGTTTTACTTAAGCTACAATTTCTGGTCCAACAGGTTTCGGACAAATGTTTTAGAACGGCTGATTCGCGGAACCGAGGCTTTCAACTGGGAAACACTTCCGAAGAATGATCCAGACACTGGTTCCTTGACAATGGCTGGTTGGATTTCTGTCATAAAGACAACTATCAGACGAATTACAATCTCTGCAGAGTTGTACTTGGTGGCGTACATTATAGCTTGCTCAGTGATATCCGACAAACGTATCCCACTGTTCAACGCCTGGTTTCCCTGCGACATGGCCCTTAGCCCAGCATACGAACTGATTAACATCCAGCAGGTAAATTACCATTCTTAATCTACAGTAAGATCTAAGTGACATTTTATAAATCACGACATAAAACCTATGAAAAACAATTAAATACAAAATATTATATCATAATGTTTCAGTTCTTAATGACCTTGCTTATTAACAAAACTTTCTGGATTAAATTTCGTCAACCAATTATGCTTAATGATAATATTCACACTTGCATTGCTTTCGCTCGCACATATGACGACGTCTCTCAGTTGTTTACCTCATCTTTATATACTCGCATATGAACAAATCGCGTTCATGTTCGAACAGCATCATTTATAAAAAAATGCACATCAACAAAACTAGTCGTATGGGCTACAATTACATAATCACAGATAACGAAACTAAAAACCTGTAACAAAATCACAGATTCACAGGCTTCGTGACACCCGGAGGATTATTACCGCGTTCATTTACAACCCATTAGACTCCCTTCTGAGCAAGTAGAATCGAATGTAATCCACAAACTCACGCCTAAACACAACCCTTAATCCCGACACCTTCCTCTACGCTTAATATAAAGCACCAGAATCCAATATTATCAATTTAAACAAACTCTTCACCCTAATGATGGAGGCAGCAAGCACCGGAAACGTCGATAAACTTCTACCACACTAAACGGCCCAACAACCCAGAAGACAGTCATCTACACCACACAATAAATCACAAATATTTGACTAGGTGTGATCAAGTACGCAAATTCTCCGACCAAAATTAACGTTGCATTTACGTTTTAACAACATCACTTATGTTCGTGTGTTTGTAATGTTCCTGTTTGTTATTCCTGCAGTCCATTGCTGCTACTGCTTACGTCTTCACCGTTTACCCCTTCCCGTGCTTTTTCGCTACTCTGGTCTGCATCACCGGAAGTCAACTGGAAAAGCTGAGGGCAAGACTGTTGAATATCAAACTGAAACGCGACACGGCAATGCAACAGGAATCGGGTGCTGAGACTGACCTCGAGGAAGTGTTCCGGCACATGCAGAAAGAGCTGAACGAGTGCGTACGTCAACATCAAGAGATTCTGAGGTGTGTGGAACAGGGAACTTCCTACGAAAACACGAATGATTAAAGACGCTACGTGATGTTATTTGTAATTCTACCAGGTCAATGGCAGTTGACACGTAATTGTTATATTTCTCCTCTAAGATACATTCGAGAGCTGGAGGATTCACTGAATGTCTTCATGACTGGGGTCTTCTTACTTTCGCTGATATCGATGTGTCTCTGTGCCTTCTCTATTGTTACGGTAAGTAGAACGCTTCTTGGTTTATACAATACACTAGTAAAGCCCATTTGGCTACGATGTATATTTTTGTAAGACACACAGTTCGGGAAAAACAGGGCAATTTAAATTTTCAACGTGCCTGTAGATTTTCTGTCCTAAGGGGAACGTTTTATTTACAACTGTTTTTACGACAAACCGTTTTATTTTTATTTTTTTAATTCTTCGACGAATATTCCAAATAGAAAGAATAGCTAATGTTCTTTCGTTTGTCTTTACAACAGGAACACACCTTTTTAAGTCCCCAATTCCCCAATTTCTCTCGGTATGTTGCACATGGTCTTCTTCAAATGTTCATTTTAAAGCACAAACGCAGTCTCGTTCCTCTGTCTGCAGAGCTGGGGAGACCATTTTATGATGCTCCAGGGAGTAATCGCATACTCGATGGCGCTAGTACCTTTAGTATTCTACTGCTGGTTTGGATATGAGCTTACGGCACAGGTAGGTAGACTGCTAAGCATCAACTCGTGTGATTCTGTAGCATTATTCGCAGCTCCGCTCAGAATGAGTCACTTTTACACGAAACGGACATTGCCATTAATTACGAAGTCACATATACACATTCAAAATTTATATTAATTACATTACAAAAAATACATAACATGAACTATATTAATAGTAAGACTTCACAAAGTCTTTTAAGACCCTCTGAACACACAATAAAGAAGGAACGTTCACCCTTATTTCACTACGTTCAATAATTTTATTTAATAACACCTTACGTTTTTATAAATAAACTGTTACTTAGCAGATTAATGATTTTTTCAGACAAAACGTCTAGCATTAGTACAACTAATAATTTAATTTACGCGCATTTTCGTGTTTCACCTTGTTATTTACGGTAGAATGGCATCCAAACAACAAAGAAAAATCATGAACAGATAAGGCTATACACATACATATGCCTATACTATATTATGAACTTAAACGGACGCCATCAGAATGTTTTAGAATTACGAGTAAGCCTAATTGTCTGCATTCGCCAATAAATGTCTGAAGAAAACATCACCTCAGCGTTTTTGGGACCGAACAATGAACCGTCTAGAATAGCAACCGTCCACGTTCTGTGCCACACATCCATAGACTGACCAAAGAACGCAATTAGTATTTCATATTCTGGAGGAAACATGTTCATTTTGTGCCCCAAACGCGGTATACATTGACTAAGCACAATGGTGGCTTTTCTCACTCCGTCCAAGAAAAGTGTGGGACAGTCATTTATACCGGTCACTACCGTTTCCTTCTAGTTTATTTTCACCACCATCGTTGTAAAATTATAACCTTGTCAAATTCCAGTTAAATAAAGAAATATTTTATGATCATAATTCTGAGCATATTCTCAGTGGAAAATCGTTTTTAACGCCATAAAACGTGTCCTTCCTCTTCTGCATTAAGAACTTTCGCTTGCATTCCAGCTGGTTCTTGTTTCAGACGCAGAGAATAAAAGATGCGGCCTGGGGATGTGATTGGGTCGGAACGCCAGTTTCCTTCCAGAAGAGCATCAGATTAATAATATCATCAGCTAACAAGGAGTTCACCCTCACTGCTGGAAAGATTGTGCCAGTGACCATCAGCACCATGGTTAATGTACGTTTCGATTCTAAATAACAACCAAACATTTCTTAGACTATCAGTGGAAAACCTGTTTTCAGTTTCCTTATGCACTTCACAGCAAAATACCACAGCGAACTCTTAAAAGAATATAAGGAAAAATGTTTGTGTGCGGTTTCATGTGCGTACAATTGAGCGGCTGTGTGAAATTACACAATATACATCTACAGGATATGTGGTGATAATGTTGATAATATTGCACATGTGCTCAAAGCGTTTCAAAATCATAAGTGTTCCAAACTTTTTGTGCATCTTTACTACTTGTCTTTACATTAATTTTGCCAATAAGTCTTCAGTAATAAATTATCATTATTCCAGAGCAGTTTAAAATTGTATGCCATTCTATAGTTCAGGGGCAGAAAGATGTGAAACCATTATTCTGGATTCAAAGCCCTTTCTCATACATAAATGATACCGTAAAACTTCCATATCGTACGAAACTAAACGTGATTCAGAACAGAAAGTATTCATCATAAAGTTACGTAAAGTTAGGAAATGTATGAAACACTTCTTCATAAAAGTTCTCCGAGGAATCTGTCCGACTGGTCAGCTGCGTGATCCAATCCCCTAATTTGTGCAACTTCACTGCAATCATTGGTCTGGTACGTGTTACATAGTAGGCCTGTTGAACCAACCACAATATATATTTTCACCTGAAGATGGTAGCACAGACACTTCTCGAAACGTAGTGTTCTCATTTTAGAATAGCGAACGATGGAAGAAGTCCAGAAAAAACAGCAATGTGGTTATGTGAACAGTATAATGCATTCATAAAAGGAAAAAAGACTTACTGAAATTTTTAATTTTATATTACTGTAACTGGAAAAAAACCCAGGAAAAATACGTCGGTTACTCCCGAACGTCCGGAACAGGTATAAATTATGTTCTTGCTTTCCGAACTTCAGAAATTACGTACGAGCTGGATAATGGGGTTTTATTAAAGTTAATGGTAGGTATTCTTCTCTTGCCCACAATACCCAGATCAGGTCTGACGTCTATCAAGTCTTGTACACGATGGGTACCGGGGGGCTCTTT